TGAATGATCCTACTTCGGACACATGATGCGAAGACCCAGATCTCTGGAGAAGGCTCTGATGCTGGGAAAGGTGGATGGAAAGAGAAGAAGAGGAGGACCAGCAGGAAGAGGGGTGGACTCAGTTAGGGGTGATGGGGACACCATTGGAAGACCTGAAGGACCACGTTGGAGTCAGATCATCATGGAGAAAATCAATCTAGGTGGTCGCTAAGAATCAAAAACAACTTGATGGCACATATCATTCAATCAACTAAAACCACGGAAGAGGGTCTTCAAGATCTTCCATGCAATATAGTCATTTGGCAGGCTACCTGTTCCCATGAGTTCCCCAAGTGTGGTGACAAAACCAAGTTCCGAGGGATTTCTGGAAAATCATCAGGGTTGGGCCCAATCTCACCTCGGGGAGGATGACGTTCCAGAGGGCGGGTGCCACGGCAGAGAAGGCTCTCCTCCTGGATCCCGTCAGATGGAACTCCTTGGCAGACAGGACCCACAAGGTCCCTCTCCTGCCAGATCTGATGGGGCAGGTAGATTTAACCAGGGAGACGCAAGTCCCTCAAATACCCCTGCCCCACACCACGTAGGGCCTTAAAGGTCAAAACCAGCACCTTGAATTGAACCCGGAAGCAACTGGCAATCAATACAGCTTGCAGAGTTGAGATGTGACATGTGCCATCCTGGGGACACACATAACTGCCTTCGCTGCCGTATTATGCACCAGTTGAAGCTTCTGGATACTCTTCAAGGGTGGCCCCATGTAGAACATGTTGCAGTAGTCCATTATGGTTTTAGATTCTGTGGATCCATCCCAAAATTGAACGTGTGTTTGAAGGAAAACGATAGCAAATGGTGTCTTCTGAAGAAAGGGAACGCGGTGAACATGTTTATATAGGGTCTCCAGGCGGGTGAATTTCCTCTTACCCACACATGAGCGGTTGTTACTGGCGAGCTGGAAACCAGATTCACACTGGCAGGAGAAAGATCCTGGCGAGTTGACGCAGCGGTGTTGGCAATAGCGGTAACGGCATTCGTCAATGTCTGCAGCGGAGGGCAAGAAAAAACAAGGAATTCCTGAATATTGTCATGAAACTATGTCCCCTCTGTTGTGCCTCTGGGCGTGTACAGAGAGCTTCTCCTTCCTCCCTGAGGAACCAACAACGTGACCCTTTTCAGACTGGGAAAAACCTATCACTGAAAATGCAGACAGGTTAACCTGCTTTCAGGGTTTGTAGAATCCAGAGAATGTTAAAGTTAGGTTTAGGCCTGCACGACATCCTAAGACCCCAACAGAAATCAGAAATGAACCAGTTTAAATCTAACTAAGTTTAATATGTTCTGTACGTGGAGCTGTTAAGCATTTTATTGGTAAAATGTGTGGTGCAAACATACCCATGGTGGATGGATCTCTGAATGGCTCAACCAGAGATTTTTGCGATAATTAGAGTTCACACAGTACACTAAACTCTAACACACTGGCTGAGTTGGCACACCTCTTAACTCAGTCTGTGGGCAAATCAGCCCACGTTCACACATGGAAGTTGGATGGGTTTTAATGTTTTTAACAGCTTCCTATATGGGCAGTGCAGAAAATGAGTTAAGTCAGTGGCTGGGTTACCCTAGGAGATGAAGCAAGCCGTCAACACAAATGCAGTACACAAATGAATAAACCAAACTATGATTAAACAGATGTTCTGGTTCACACAGTGTGAACAGGCAACAACTGGATTCCTGTAACACACTAAACCAGTGTTTCTCAACCTTGGCAGTTTGAAGATGTGTGGACTTCAACTCCCAGAATTCCCCAGCCAGTGAATTCTGGGAGTTGA